GGAGAGTGCCCGCTGGGCACAGCTAATGAAGGGCCGCTATTGTTCCCGGGCCGCCGCCGGGTTATTTAAATCAGAGCCTGTTTAACCGGGAACGGCAGCCTGGATGTGCGGAGACCCATTTTCTGTCTGTCGCCTCCCCCGCCCCCTCCGGCCTGCTTTCTTTGTAATAGTCTCATGTACAAGGACGATTGAAACTTTATAGCGCATGATTCATAGAGTGGAGCCGTACTCGGAGCCGCGGTGTATATTACATTAATCAGTGTCAGGCCACTAAAACAGAGATATGAATATGAATTCTCCATATTGCAGGAGAGATAAATGTGCTTGTGAATAATTGATCGGCGCCCGTGAAAAGGCAGGGGGGAGGGGAAGGGCACGAATGGGGAAACACGATCGCGCAGCGAAAGTTATGGGCCATCAAGGGAGACCCGTGAAGGGGATCACGCCCGCAACACGGCCCCAGCCTGGCTGCTGTCAGCAACGTCTTCACCTCTGCGGGGCTGCCCAAGTTTTGCACATTAAAAAAAAAAAAAAAAAAAGGTCAACTAAAGCACCAAAAGGGATGACATGAGCTGAAAATCCCCCTTTCATCAGTTTTTTTTTCACCTAGTTAAGAATAGAGTCCTGTAGAAAATAGGAAAAAAAAGAATTTAAGAAAAAATGAGGCACGCATACAAATAAGGACGTTTCATAACTGTGTCTCTGTGACAAAGCTAAGTCTCCGTAAAGCTTCCGTCTGCTCTTCGTGGTTTCTTTCTTGCCGCAGCCAATTTTGGAGTTTGCTGAACTCAGGTTCATACCAACTTCTCTGTGTTCTTTTTTTTACACTTTTAGATTCCTGACCTCCTTCTGTTAATGCTAACCAAACAATAATAGAAACAAAAACGAGTCAGTTTCTCCAGAGGACTATGCAAACGAGTATGAAAAAATATCTTCCGACACCCACTTAAATAGCAAGAAAATATATATTGCTCTAAAAGACAGATGAGGCAATGTAGCTCCCATTCAATTAAATGCAAATTTTGGTATTGACTTTATTTATCAGGTTCGGGTCCCATCATCGCTGAGAAAAGATAAGGGAAGTAGGAAATTAGGACTTTCTAATTTATTCTTATTAGCCCGAAGCATTCCAAATTAAGGAAAGTCGTTTAGCATAAGCTTTTCCCTTTATTATTCTCCCTGTCCTATGGTATTCGCTCGTATATATCTGCCAGGAGCACCTCAATGAAAATGGAAAATATTAGGGAAAACTACAAAATATTTTCCGTCAAGGCGACGTATACGGTCATTCCTAGCATTGCTCACGTGTCAGCCGAAGCCTGGGGAAATACGGGAAGGCTGCTACTTTCTAAAACTGCAGCCAGGCGCGTTGCGATTTCTTTACTAAGCTCGATGTGGCCGGAGAGCCCGAAGAGGCTTTCTGCGAGCAAGCCGTGCGGAGCCGGGACACCGCCGTGCTCCCGCTCCGCTCAGCGAAGGGAAGAGATAACCCTCGTCTACCGCAAACCGCAGCCAACCGGGGAGCCTTCAAATGTATGGTCGTGAAGGACTCACAGGATAATGAACACACATACGCATCCGCTCCCGCTGAAACTTCATCCGAGAAGGATCACTTTAATGATTCTTAACGGGGAAAACAAACGAAATTCTTCCCTTCGACCAACAGCTAGCTTAATTCCGCAGTTCTCCGGGATAGTCGTGTTTTTAGGCAAATACCCACGCTGGAGAGTTTTGCATTTAAGTAATACAACATAGTTCAGCTCGTCTCCCTAGTTGGTTTGGGGGGAGGGGTGGTCCAGAGTCGAAAGAGGAGCCGAGTGCTCTCCTGGTTGGAAACTTTATAAATGGCTGCGTTGTGCGGCTCGGGGCAGCGCGCAGCCCGGCGCCGCCACCTGCGCAGTGCCGCGAGGCGCCTCGCCTGTACCTGCCCGCTGCCACGCCGGCACCAGAGTGCTCACCCTCCGGCCCGTGCGCAACACATGCACACATCTGTCCAGCGAGACCGTGATCCGCACCCGCTCGGCACTCAACCCTTCCGGTTTCACCCCCAGGCAGAAACCCGAGTAATAACCATCTCACCTGGTTTGGGAAGTGTTAAAGTTACAGGGCAGGAAGGGGGGTGGGGACACAGGCAGCAAACCGTGTGGGGCCAGAACACTTCTGTGCTCCCGCTCCGTGTACCACAAGTTCTGCGAAAGACTCTGCGCCCGAAGATGAGAAGAAAAGTTCCAAAGGAGGAAAACTGCCCCAAAGGAGGAAAACTGTCAAACAGATATCTTAGTGGGGATGAACACTGTCCGAAGAACGCTCGAAATTAGAAACACACTACTGATCAGGTTTTCAGACTCAAATAAAGCCACAGCCTCCAAGCGCCGGTGTCG